AGTATTGGAAAGGAAAGGGTATACCACCAGAGGAACATATTATTCAGAAAGTTCTAGAATGTGCCGAAATGAACAAATTAATGTTAGAATTAAATGAGAAAGAAGACTCAGAATATTATATGGTGTGGGATGATTGGTACAGGTGGATTGATAACCAAATAAAGAATAGATAAAAGTTAATACAAATTTTAAGATGCATATAGGAATGTGGAACGATGAAATGAAAAGGTAGAATCAATCTAACCTGTGTATAAAAATGACACTGCCTGACTGATTGTACTGTATTGTAATATAATACATTTCAATAAAAATTTTTTAAAAAAAGTTGCCGCACTTCCTTGGAAGCCTGGTCGACCCCTGTCCAGTGTGAGATCCCTGCACTATGGGAGGAGCCCATGGAGTTAGGAACCACCAGACCCCCACCTTTTTGTGGAAGAGAGGAACAGATCACATCGGGGGTGGTTGTGTTTATACTGTGGAAGCTGGGACACATAGTGGCTTCCTGCCCCAAGAAGAAACGAGGGGCGTTATCCACAGCTTCTATTCCGAATAAGCTTTTGAGAAATGCATAGAGACTAACCTAGGGTGCGTCTTAGGCTGGGCCTTGTCACAACCTGATCAGCATCCTCTGGTTAACCCCCAGGAATGGCCCTGCCATTTGATCCTGGCTGTGAGTCTGCTCTTACTGGCTCGTCCATGTGGGATTCCGGTCCATGCCTTGATCGACTTGAGCGCTACCACAAACTTCATGGACACCACATTTGCAACCAAATGGTCTGTACCACACTGCTTGGTGTCTCCACTTCTCCTAGTGGAGACCATTGATGGATGGTTGCTCTTGTCCGGGCCTATCACAGCCACTACGCAACCGCTGCAGATGCGTATCAGCACTCACGAGAAGGCTATTCAATTCTATCTCGCATCCAACATGCATTTCCCCATGGTCCTAGGCATGGATTGGCTTCGAATTCATGATCCCCTCATTTACTGGTCTCAGAATCTGATTGTCTTCCCGAGCCAACAATGTACTAACCTCACCCGGTAAGTGTGCACTATCCATGGTCCAAGTCTCGTCGGCCCATCTTGCCATCTGAACTGACAGACTATGCTGATATATTCAGTGAGAAGGAGACAGACTGACTGCACCCACACCGATCTTAGCATAGATCATGTTTTGTTTTTAACTGCATTTACATAGCTTAGGTTTAGTTTACATTACATTTGTTTGCTTATTTACAGTATTTATCTTATTTAATATCACACTTATTTACTTAGTTTACACACACTATCATATTTAATATATTTGTTTAGTTTAGGATTAATTTAGTTTAGTTTAGGACATTAAATTAACGATGGAGACGTTCCTATACTATGCGGGAAAACTCCTGTTTGAGGTAAGAGATCCTTTTTTATTTATTTGTCAACTTGCATGTGCAACTCTAGCATTAGTTTAGGATTCAAAGAATATGACAGTAACATGACATAATAATAATAATAAATATAATAATGAAATATAATGGGAATTGAAGGAATCTAGGAACAAGCAAAAATTGCTTTAGAATAATTTTTAGAATAACTTTTGAACTTGAATATTTTAAAACTATCTGTAGATCTTTCTTGGTCAGAATAGGCTGCAAAATGGAGAGGGATTAAAGAGTCTCCCCCGCCCCCTCTTTTTTCTCCTCAGCCTCCAGCTTTTACCTAGAGGCTGGTAAATGCAGGTAAAGTGAAGAACAGAAAGGAATATATTGCTTTCTGTGGGTTATCTTGGTACACGAGATGCCATAAGAGCTGCAACTAATTCTTTTTTTAAAAAAATATTTTTTTATTATTAAAATATAAACACAGATATAAAGACAATACAATACAATACAAAGACAAACAAAAAACCCACCACCTACAAACCCACCTAACATTCTACATATACGTTTTTGTCATCAACAGAATATATGTCGTTGAGCTTATATATTTTAATAAAGAGTGATTATTAAATATTTAATTCCAACGTTATAACTTTACACTACAAATTTACATTTCTTATGAGTTCATCTCCTTATGTAAGTCTTTACCCTAATTTCTGTCCTCTACATTTTTGCTGATTTTCCTTTCCAGCTATTGATACCATTGGTGCCATACAAGATAGTATTCGCTTTCTTCCTTTTCCTGGAGTTCCAGTGTCAATCTGTCCATTTCAGCACATCCTGGAAACTATAGGCCAATCAACTGTTTGCCAACAACATACAAGCTTCTTACTGGTATCATTGCAAACCAAATCTATGGATACCTGGAAAGAAATAACTTGCTTCCTGTAGAACAGAAAGGATGCTGCAAAAACTCAAGAGGAACAAAGGATCAATTGCTGATCGACAAGCTAATCCTAAAGAACTCAAAGAAAAGACGAACCAACCTGTTCATGGCTTAGATAGACTATAAGAAAGCATTTGATTCAGTTCCCCATAGCTGGATCAAGAAATGCCTGGAAATATTAGGCATCAGCAGCAACATACAAAAATTCATGGAATCTTCAATGAACCTCTGGAAAACGAAACTTATGGCTAATGAAGAAGAACTGGGTGAAGTTGAAATTAAACGAGGCATTTTCCAGGGTGATTCCCTTTCACCCCTACTTTTTATACTCTCAATGCTACCACTGACAATCATTTTGAAGAAGATGAACTGTGGATACGAACTTGCAAAGAAAGGACTGAAAATCTCGCACTTGATGTACATGGATGATTTGAAGCTGTTTGGTAAAACAAAAGCTGAACTGAATTTATTAATTGAAAACACAAAAGAATTCAGCCAAGACATTGGTATGCGGTTTGGAATTGACAAATGTGCAACAATAGCAACCAAAGCAGGCAAGATCATAGAAGAGGATGGAATAGAACTAGAGAATGAAGAAATGATAAAGGCAGTAAAATCAGAAGAAGGCTACAAGTACTTGGGGATTTTAGAAGCCTCTGACTTAATGCATAATAAAGTCAAGGAATTAATTTCAGCCAAGTACATTCGGCGAATTCGTAAGATATTAATGTCCAAATTGAGTGGAGGAAACATCATAAAAGCCATAAATACCTGGGCTATACCTGTGATTAGATACTCTGCAGGAATAATTGACTGGACCCAGATGGAGTTAGACAATTTGGACAGAAAAACAAGGAAGCTTATGACAATGAATCATGCCTTGCACCCTAAAAGTGATGTTGACTGATTATATTTACCAAGAGCAGAGGGTGGTCGAGGACTCCTACAAGTAAAGCAGACTGTGGAAGAAGAAAAATGCAGCTTGAATGATTACATCCAGAAAAGTGAAGAACCAATGATTAAGGAAGTAAATAAAGGAGGCCTTTTAAAGACAACTAAAACAAAAGCAGAATATAAGAAAGAAGTAACTGAGCAGCGAGCTGAAAATTGGAAACACAAAGCTCTGCATGGCCAATACTTGAAAAGTATTGAAGGCAAAGCTGACCAGAAACTAACTTGGAACTGGTTAAGATCAGGAGTACTGAAAAAAGAAACAGAAAGCTTTATTTTGGCAGCTCAAGAACAAGCCCTAGCCACAAACTGCATGAAGGCAAAAATTCAACATGTTACCACCAACAGCAAATGCCGCCTCTGCAATGAGAAAGATGAAACAGTCAACCACCTGATCAGTGGGTGCAGCAAAATTTCACAAACTGACTACCTACAATGCCATGGCCGTGTTGCTAAGATCATTCACTGGAAATTGTGCCAGAAGTTTGGATTTGAGTACAGCAAAAACCACTGGGAACATCAGATTGAGAAAGTTTTAGAGAATGAGAAACTCAAAATCTTGTGGGACTTTAGGATTCAGACTGACAGGCACTTGGTCCACAACACACCTGACATAACAATAGTTGAAAAGAAAAAAGTATGGTTCATTGACATTGCAATACCCGGTGATGCATTGCAATACCTGGATTGAAGATAAGCAGCAAGAAAAAATCACAAAGTACCGGGACTTGCAAATTGAAGTTGAGCGACTGTGGAAAAAGAAATTGTGTGTTGTCCCGATTGTAATTGGAGCCCTTGGAGCAATACCCAAAGTGCTACCCCGCTATTTAGAAATTCTAAATTTGCCGGACTTGAACATTTTGACTCTACAAAAAACCACCTTACTCGGAACAGCTTACATCCTCCGACGATACCTTAACAGTTCCTAGGTCCTTGGTTAGGACTCGAGCTGCTGAGCTATTAACCAGCCTCAAAGGCTGTGAATCTCACTAAAGATTAACCAATAATAATAATAACATTGTGGAAACATCTTAAAGCTAAAGACCAGGAACAGAAGTAAGTACTTGTGTGTAGTTCTTTCAGTGTGTTACTCTTATGTAAGGTGTAAGTGCATGCAATTAAAAACTTCCTTCCAGATCTCTTCTTTGTGCAGGTCATTCATTAGAGCAAGGAAGTCTGCGCCGTTGAATACAGACAACACTTTCATCGTTCTGTAAAATAAGTACACAATAAAAGAGCTACACAAGTACTTATACTTGTGTAGCTCTTTTATTGTGTACTTATTTTATTCTTATGTAAATAAATAAGTGCAGAAAATAATAAACTACCTTTTTGTATAACTTCTTTTTGTAAGTCATTCATTAGGGTAAAGAACTCATGCTCGCCGAGTCACATGACCAGGAAGCCATGCCAGCCGAGTCACATGACCAGGAAGCCATGCCAGCCGAGTCACATGACCCGGAAGCCACGCCCACCAAGTCACATGACCAGGAAGCCAAGCCTGCCAAGTCACATGACCAGGAAGCCACGCCCACCAATTCACATGACCAGGAAACCACGCCTGCCAAGTCACATGACCAGGAAGCCACACCCACCAAGTCACATGACCAGGGAGCCATACCCACAAAATAAGCCACGCCCACAGAACCGGTAGTAAAATTTTTTAGAACCCACTCCTGAACGGCATGCTTTATGAAAGAAAACAAGGAGCTGTAGAAGAAAGTAAAAGCCAATCCAGAAAGTATTATTTTAGCTTAACTACATTTTAATTGTTTTCATTTTAAAAACAAAAGTGATTTATGTCATCTTAAATTTGGCTGTACAAGTTCTAGTTCTTTTGTTATTTTTTGCCAGGAGATGCTGACAGAGACGAAAGGGAGTATGAAGGCTGAAAAAGAAATATGAGGTCTATCTGCAGAAATACAGACAACATCAAAGAAACCAACTATTTTGTTTGTGTGAGAATCTGTAGCAGATGTGAGGATACAAAGGCAATCCTCCCTCTGCATCACCGCTGACCCTTCTATTTAATGGCCAGTCTTAACTTTCAGTGTTGTTGGTGGGTTAATATGTAATGTCTTTTGTGAATATTGTTTAATAGCACAAGTGTTTTCCCATACAAATACAGAAATGAAGCGCATAGAAGAACTTACGTTGCTTCAAGAAAGGGAGCTGGCAGAAAAAGATGTCACCATAAGAGCTGTAGGTCATTCATTTCCCTTACAATCCTGTTTTAAGCTCCTCTTTTTGTCTGCATATTTATATTCTATGACTGATGCATGCTTCTTCTAATTTCTACATCTTAGTTGGAAAAAGAGAACAACTGCTTAGCCAGAGAAATGGCTTAATTTATAAGGAATTGCAGAACAAACTGAGGGAAAATCCAGAAAATGAGTATTATTTTAACTTAAAAACATTTTAATTATTTTTGTTCTAAAAGCAAAAGTGATTTATTTCATCTTAAGTTTGACTGTACAAGTTCTAGGTTTTTTTTGTTATTTTTTTGCCAGGAGATGGTGACTGAGATGAGGAAAGGGAGTATGAGTATAAGAAGAAAATGTGAAAACTATCAGAAAGCGATAACAGAGTGAACACTGTAAGTATCTTACAATGATAGTAAGCAAGTAGAACAACCTCTGTAAGGGAGATTGTATAATGCCTTAAAAGTTAATTTTGATTGTACTTCATCAATTTCTTTTCGCAGGAGATCTCAACAGTGACTGAGAAGAGGGCCTGATAACAGCTTGGAAACACAGAATTGACGACTTCTGCTCCCATCTCGAATCTCTACCCTTCTGTGGGAGAAAGGTGGCTGACCAGGATGGTAAAATTCGTCTTTCCGTTTCTGGGAGAGAAATAGACATGTTTCCGTTGATGACTCTCTACTTCAGGAAGTCACAATTGGGAATGTCATCTCTTCATCCTCTGTCACTAACATTTTAACCTTTTAGCAGCAAGCTGTGTTTTGAATACATCAAAAATATTTGTTTAACACTTTTCAGTCTCTGCAAGAAAAGTCAGAAGAAAAACCTGATTGCGTACAAAAGGTAAATGATACTGTTTGTAAGACATTACATATTTTTATCCTGTAGAAAAGTTATCATACAACATTTGATAGTGAAAATATAATCAATTTTGCAATACAATGTTTATTCTTTTACAGTATCTAGGTGTCAAATGCAACCATGTCCCTTTGTGTTGCAATCAAGAAAATGATGATTCCCAACCAGGGATCGTAGTAGAGATGGAGTAAGTGTTTTGATATGTTTTTGCTTCATTCTGAATGTTGTCAATATTTCTGTGATTCTGAATGCTAAAGTAATGTTTATACTTTTTAAGATTAAATTGATAAAACAAGAAACTCATCAGGACTTGCAATAATCTTGGCATCATGATTTTTATATGCCAAGTGTTTAATATTTGCTGCTGTTAAAACAAGTGGATGAGTCCCAATATTTCTTTGCCACTTTAAAGTAGTGATTTATTTCGGCATGAGTAGGCCTCAGCAATCATGAGATCAGATTTGCAGTACACACTAAGAATTTCCTTGCAGTTTGAGTGACTGGGGGGAAATCCATTTGACTGACAGCAATATTGTAAGTGAATGGACCCCTACTTTCAGAAAGCTTTAAGACTCAAATCAAAGAGCACCCCTGAAATTCACATTTAAAATCCAAGATGAGATCTAGCAAATTAAATGGGAAAACTTTGAGAAACGTTACTAAACTAATATTTCATATTGGAGTGTTTCATGGTTAATTTACATTTTTGCTACTATCTGTACTTCTTCTACAACAGTGAAATCGTCCATGTTTGAGAGGAGAGCAAAAGACGAGAGCAGTTGGAATCTAAGGATATTCCCAAATTTCCCAGGTATACCTATTCAAAAACATTTAACCAGATATAATATAGACAAAGATTTGAACAAACGTGAAATAATCATACTGAGTGCCAGTTTCATAGGACATTTACATAGGACATTTACATATGAGTCATGCAAATAAATAAATAAATAAATAAACGAAAATAAAAAAACCTATCTTAATTTTTCTATGAGTTTTTCTGAGATTTTCAAATTCAAATTAGGCTATAACATTCAGTCATAAAATAAGAGATTTTAGACAGAATGCCTTCTTTCATGGCATTATAAATAGAATTTAGATGGCTTTTCTTGATATGCTTGTCTGGATTGTTCGAAAGGCAAATGTGATGAAAAACCTAGCTAATATTCTGCCTGCTAATTTTTGCCAAGAAGTTATTCATCAGATAAATTATTGTCTCATTCAACTTGGCTAGTTTTTATTGGACAAAAATGATGTTTGATATATAATTTAATGTGTTAAGTGTTTTTTCATTGAAATATTTATATATTTTTTCAAAATAAGATGATTTGGTTTCTCTTTAAATGCCATCTTCAAAGAGGAAAATGACCTCTTAGCTAGTGAAATAGTGTGCCTTGTGAAAAAAAATAAGGAGCTGCAAAACAAACTGAAAAAAAATCCAGAAAGTATCATTTTAACATTTAAATTGTTTTCATTTTAAAAACAAAAATGATTTATTTTGTCTTAAATTTGGCTGAACAAGTTCTAGTTCTTTTGTTATTTTTTTTGCCAGGGCCTATCTATTTTGACAGAGATGATAAAAGGGAGTATAAGGAGCTAAAAAGGAAATATGAAAAATACCAGAAAGCAACCAGTAGCGTGAACACTGACAGTATCTTACATGATAGTAAGAAACTAGAACAACCTCTGTCAGGGAGGTTTTATAATCATTAAACGTTAATTTAATGTACCTCATCAATTTATTTTCACAGGAGGTCTCAACAGAGACTGAGAAGAAAAGGGGCCTGATAACAGGTTGGGAGCACGGAATCGACAACTTCTGCTCCCATCTTGAATCTCTACCCTTCCATTGAAGAAAAGTGGCTGACCACAATGGTAAGATTTATCCTTCCATTTCTGGGAGAGAAATAGACACATTAAAATTGACGATTCTCCACTTGCCTTTAGGGGCAAGTCACAATTGGGAATGTCATCTCTTCATTCTCTGTCATTAAATTGTAACCTATTAACAGCAAGCTATCTTTGAATATGTCAAAAATAATTCTTATACAAATCCAATTCTTTTGTATTATTCGATTTCAAAATAAGCAATTGTTAGAGTATAGGTAAAAGAAATCTTAGTAAAATGCCTTTTTTCTTAATGTGATATAGCATGATAACAATATCCAGATAATACTGTTGTAAAATATTTATTTAACACTTTTGAGGATCTGCAAGACCCGATGTTGTAAAAAATGTAAATGATAACAGTTTTTAAGACATCACATATTTTTATTCTATAGAAAAGTTATCATACATTTGGAAGTAAAAATAAAATGAATTTTGCAACACTATGGTTATTATTTTACAGTATCCAAGTGTCAAGTGCAACAAGGTCACTTTGTACAACAATTCAAATAACAAAGAATCCCAGCCACGGATAGTGGTCAAAATGGAATAAGTACCTTGATGTTTTTGTTTTGTTTCATTCTGAATATGGTCAATATTTCTGTAATTCTGAACTCTGTAAACAAACTCCATCTTTTAATAAATTTGTCTTTCTTTTGGTCAGTCAGTTAATCTAAATTAGGTTGTTTTTGATGAATTTCTAAGTATTCTATTTTCGACCATCATACTGAGGAAAGCAAAGCCATTTCAGCAATTTTGAAATTTGTGTTATTAAACATAACAGTGCATTTCCCGATTTTCAATGGTCAGTCATTCCATTAATCAAATTTAGAGTATTATCCCAGAATGGATGTATTATTAGAAAAGATCCTAAAATATACAGAAAATTTGTTATAGTCATTATTACAAGATATTCATATTAAAAATTTAAATATAAACTAAGTGTGGTCTTTATATAACAGCTCTGCTTTCCACAAATGTTAAGGTATTATTTATACTATTTAACTTAAGCTGATAAAACAAACAATAATACAGAAAATAATACTGTATCATTGCTCTTTTTAAATAAACTGTTCCGAGATGTATGGCATAATGGAAGACAATGTTGGTTAGTGCAGTGGTCCCCAACCCCCGGTCCGCGGACCGGTGCCGGGCCGTGGAGTACCTGGCACCGGGCCGCGCAGCGGCCGGGGGACATGAACGCTGCAGCGCAAAGGCTCCTGGGCCGTGCGCAAAAGCTCCTGGGCCGTGCGCAAAAGCTCCTGGGCCATGCGCAAAGGCTCCAGGGAAGAGAGCCCCGCGCAGGTACGCACGTGTGGCCCAAAGCCCCTACCCCTGCGCGCGCTCAGCGGGCCACGGTAAAATTATCAAAGGCTGATTGGTCCGCGGCGATAAAAAGGTTGGGGACCACTGGGTTAGTGGTTAGAGACTGGGAGAGTTTAATATCAAGATAGGAATATTTCAAGGAGATTAGTTATCACAGCTAGTGTTTGTCACTGCACTGATTCCTCTATCAAAAATACTGAATAACTTAGGCCATGTCTCTCAAACATCAAAAATATCTGCCAGACTATTCTGCCTCCTTTATATGGACAATCTGAAACTGTATTGAAAAATACCATCTGAAATAGAATTGCAGCTCAACACTGTCCATAGATACAGCCAAGATATTGCAATAGAGTTTGGACTGGACAAATGTGCCACCCTCACCATCAAACAGGGAAAAGTAGTGAAAACTGAAAGAATCAAGATGCCCTATGGAAGTAACATCAAGAGTCTGGATGAAGATGATCACTACAAATATCTAAGCATCCTTCAAGGTGACAACATCAAGCATTCCAAATTCAAGAAAAAGATTGGAAGTACATACATCAAGAGAGTGAAGAAGATCCTAAAGTCCAAACTCAAATACCATCAAAGCAATCAGTGCCTGGGCAATTCCTATCATTAGATACAAAGCTGGAACAGTGGACTGGACTCAAGCAGGCCCTGAATGGGAAGATCAGAAAAATAATGACACCTGAATCATGCCCTTCATCCATGCAGCAATGTTGACAGATTTTATTTATCAAGGAAAATGGATAAATATCGAATATTGCAAGTACACCAGAAGGTTGAAGAAGAAGAAAAAAAGCATTTAAGAATATCTGAAGGACAATGATACACTAAGCTAATATAATATGAAGGCTTACCGAAGCATACAAAGTCAGTAAGCTAACCATAATAAAATTTTATCTTGACTTTTAAAATATATTTTGGTCAACTCAAGGCAGCAAACATTCCTGCCTTCTATTTTCTCCACAACAACACCTCTGTCAGGTGGGTTGGGCTGAGAAAGTGACCCTGTCCTGATCCTGCCCAAAGTCACCCTGCCATAAATTGCATGTTGACAAAAAGGGGACTAAGCTTTTGCAACCACCATCTTGACTCTTTGTCAGACTGCAAAATTCCATTGGAGTGAACTGTTACTTTAGATCAAAGCCTTCTTCTTTGATACCTCTCCCAGAAAAAGTTCTCCCAGCCCGTCTTCTGAAAACACAATGTTCACATCTGTAAAGAATAAAACTGGCACCTGTTGTCATGTCAGACAGGACAAGTGCTGTCCTATTAGGTCAGTTTTGAACAAGTGCTTCACAATCTCAAAGCTGTGAAAAAAACAAATATTTACTGATTTGCAAAAACAGTAGGAAATGTATTAGAATTGAAATCCTAGAAAATGTATCTATCTGCTCTCTTTAATGGCAGTGAACTGCAGTAGGCAGAAATTTTGTTTGCATATGTGTAGAGGTATCCCTCATTTAGTGACTAACTTATTTACCAGTTCATTCTTGGTTATGACACTGATGAAAAAGTAGCTTTGTGACCAATCTTCACATTTCCATCTTCACAGATCTGCAAAGCAAAGCAAAACTAAAGTAAGATCATAGATCCGGTGGCGGTTTCAGTTGCTTTATTTAACAGAGTTGCTCGTCCTAATCATGGTTGTTAAACAAGGTCACCTGTATATAACTTCATCCTTGTCTGTAATAGAGAAATTAATCCAGAAACGTTCTGTCAGCTTGACTTCTGCCTAGTATCTGCCATAATGTTTCTGCCAGGATGAGGATTTAGTGTCTGGAAAACTGAAATTTACAGCTGTTCTTTGTGAGGCCTGATAAGTCCATCTTTTTTTTCCCTCATGAAAATTATTTAACATTCAGTATTTGAAACCTCAAAAATGTATTAATATTGGAGTACAGATGAGGCAGAATTTTAAAAGATTATAAGTAGCAGTAGTAACAAAAAGTGGAAAAAATTAGAAGCTTGTGGTTTTCTCAAGACCAGTGGTGAAATCCAAACCGGTTTGCTACTGGTTTGCTGGCTGCGCATGCGCGCTGCGTGCCAAACACGTGCTGCATGTGCATGCACAGTACGCGCCAGAAGGAGGTTTGGAAAGGTAAGTAGAAGTGAGTGGGGGGGATCAGCTGTGGCGTGCGATTTAGCTTCGTTAGAAAGCAGGATTTCCTGCTTTCTAGCAAAGCTAAACCCTGCTGCACAGCTGATCATTGGAAATACCGGTTTGGAGGAACCGGTAGCTTTTTTTAACTACTGGTTCACCTGAACCGGTAGCTTTTTTTTTTTACTACTGGTTCGCCCAAGCTGGTAGTTTTTATCACTACAGGTTCACCCGAACCAGAGCGAACTGGTAGCATTTCACCCCTGCTCAAGATCCTGGCTTAGCATGATATGGTATGGCTTTGTTTGTCCCCACACCACTCTGCTTTCTACTAACTCTTGCATGTCAAAAACAATTTTGGTACTATTTCTCCCTATCTCTGTCCTCCTTTCCTAGCAGTCTACTACTGCTTTACTACTTTCTCTCAGCTTTGGCTTTCTTATATTTGATTTTCCTCTCTAAACTGGGTAGATGACACAATTTTGAATTAAGAGATCTATCTTACTTATCTGATCCATCCATATCTGATCAATCTATCCATCCATCCATCCATCCATCCATCCAGCCAGCCAGCCAGCCAGCCAGCCAGCCAGCCAGCTAGTATACCGCTTGCACCCTGCTAAAGACAGCCCTACCCATTTCTCTAATTTTCACAATAATCCCATAAAGCAGGTATGGCCAGAAGAGTCATTGGATTCACATAATATGCTAAGATATAATAAGCAAGAAGCTGAGCTTGCTTTCCCTCACTGGCTGCTGCTTCCTGACATAAATGGCAGTTGGAACTTTCCAACTGCTGTCAAGGCCTTCCAGTGAGAGTGTGGTTTGGCAGTTCCTATGGTAACAGCTTCACGCATCTCAATTAGCTCCTCCTATCACCACAATGTCTCCGTCATTGCTGTTCTTCACATTAGCACTGTTGCCAGAAATAAACATGGTGGATTTGGTGACAGGATGGTGCCTCTTCGGCCTTGCTTTACTGATAGGAGGAATAAACACGAGGGCTCTGGCTTTTCATTCATTTCATTCATTTATTCCTTTCCTCGTCACTGATGAAGCTAATACAGGGAGTCCTCGATTTACGACCACAACTGAGCCCCCCATTTTTTGTTGCTAAGCGAGACATTTGTTAAGTGACTTTTGTCTCATTTTATGACCTTTCTTGGCACAGTTATTAAAATGAATCACTGCAGTGGTTAAATTAGTAACACGGGTTGTTAAGTGATTCTGGCTTCCCCGTTGACTTTGCTTGACAGAAGGTCATAAAAGGGAACCACATGACTCTTTTGCAACCATCATAAATTGCAACCGTTAATAAATAGGTGGTTTATTGTAACTGCAACCATCGTAAATATAGGCCAATTGCTGAGTATCCGAATCACATGACCATGGGGATGCTGCAATGGCCGTAAGTGCAAAAAAAAACAAAACACGGTGGTAAGTCACTTTTTTTCACTGACGTCGTAACTTTGAACAGTCACCAAATGGACTGTTGTAAGTAGAGGACTATCTGTACACTTTCCCCATTTCTCAGTGGCTATGGGGTGAAATAGTTCCTGGCACAGTGGTTAAGTCAATGTTGAGTACTGACCTGGGGTTTGCTCTGGCAATGAGCTGCACTTTGCCCATGTAAACTTAGCTAAGATTAAAGCTGTAGTAGTCAAAGTTGTATTGGGGAATGCATTTGCTACGATAGGAGTTCAGCCATTGCAACTGTTAGGAGACTCACCGGCTCTGTTGTGGGTCAGTGGGGTGAGCTGCGCAGCACTGAAGCCCAATTGGTTTCTTTTTACTTAGCAAAATGCAATATACAGTACACAACTTAGCCATACTCTTTTAGCACTGAGCAACTCTTTCAATCAGTTATGGTTATTTTGTGGGGGTTTTTTGAATTTTTTTTATTTTTCTTTCTCATAAATACTCTTAACCAGTATTAATCATACCTATTATCTTTAGTTTCCCTATTAATTCATTTTTCTGCCTTCAGTAGTTAAAATATTATATATTCTGGACTGCTCTTCTACTCTTCCATCTCTTCTTTATACCACAACAACCCTTTCTCTCCTTATTTTCTCTTTCCTTTCCCTCTCTACTCCTATCCTTTTCAACTTTCCTCTTCCTCCTCTCCTTCCCCCTCTCCTTCCCTTTCCCTTCTCCCACTTCTCTCTTCTTCCTCCCTTCCTAACCTTCTCTCCTACTCTCATTTCCCCTCTTTCTTCCTCTCCTTTTCCCTTTCTTCTCTCTCCTTCTCTCTCCTTCCCTCTTTTTCCTCTACCACTCTGCTCCTCTATTCCTCTCTTCATCCCGTCTCCATTATTGTGTTTACTTTCCATTCATGTATTTTCAATATGGTATTTCAGCAATCCCAATTATCTATTTATTTATATTCTCCTTACAGTTTCTTTTCCATTTTGCTGGTTGTACAAATATCATCCTTACTATACATTTTTATAATAACACTTTTTTTCCCTTTTCCTCCTCCTTCCCCCTTTTTCGTTTACTCAGGGGTCATCTGGGTTTCTATCCCTTCTTTGTCTTTTCTCTCATTTTCTTTTATCTTTTCTAATTTATTAGTAGTTATGGTTATTTTGGTTATGCCAATCAGATATGACTAGGCCTGAAACATGTCAATGAAAACTCCATCATCATATTTCAATACATTTTTTTTTGGCAAACAAAACCCAGATGTATTAATGCTGGCTTAGTTTATGCAGAGTTGGGTTGTTACAGAAATGTGCAATTTCATATCTTAAAATACTGCTGGAGTGAAACCAATCTGCAATTTCATACAGGGCCCAGGCCTAGTATGCTTCAGGCCTAGTCTCTAAAAAAAAAAAAGTTTAAATCAAGGCAATGGACCCAAGTTTGTTAATCTGAGGCGTTTCATTACTCATCCGAGTAACTTCAACAGTCAAAATACAAAATTGAGTTAGGCAAAAATTGAGTTAGAGAGTCGTTGGAATGTACCAACTCTTGCCACACCAACTGCAGGGGTTTCTCTCCAAAATGTGTTGAAATATATCAATGAAAACTCAATCATCCAGGCCAAAACTATCTAAAAATGTTAAATCATGGCAACTGGACCAAAGTTTGTTAATCTGAGATGTTTAGCTAATCATTCAAGTAAATTTATCAGTGAAAATAAAAAAAAAAAGTTAGCCAGAGAGTCATTGGAATGTACCAACTCTTGGCCACAAGTTTTCAAGAGCTTTCATTACACTGCATAAGCTAAATCAGCATTAATACATCTGGTGTTTTTTTTTTACAATAAACAAAAGAAAACAAAATCTAATCATCTGAACCTCAGGTCCATACAGGCAGGGTATTTTTTATGGAAAACACAGCTAGGAAATGCTGCTTCTCGTTTCTCCTGATTAATGTCTGTAATTCTATTACCCCTATCCTGGACAGTTTGGGACAAAGTTCCTGGTCAGACAGTAGTAGATCATACATGCCTGGGCAAATCTGGACATGATAATTTGTTAAATCTAATTACAGGTAGTCCTCGACTTACAACAATACATTTAGTGACTGTTCAAAGTTACAATGACACTGAAAAAAGTGATTTATGACCGTTTTTCACACTTACAACCTTGCATCATCCCCATGGTCACAAGATCAAAATTCAGACACTTGGCAACTGATTCGTATTTATTACAGTTGCAGTGTTCTGGTCACGTTATGCCCTTTTGCCACTTTCTGACAAGCAAAGTCAGTGGGGTAGCCACTTAACAACCATGTAACTAACTTAACAATTGCAGCGATTCACTTAACAGCTGTGGCAAGAAAGTTCGTAAAATGGAGCATAGTTCACTTAATAAGTGTCTCGCTTAGTAACCTAAATTCTGGGCTCAGTTGTGGTTGTAAGTTGAGTATTTCCTGTAGTAGTATTCATACAACACATTAAAGTTAGGCCAAAGCCCAAAGTTACATGATTTCTTAATATGTTGCATGAAACTGTTTATTTATTAGAATAGAATAACAGTTGGAGGGGACCTTGGAGGTCTTCTAGTCCAACCTCCTGTTTAGGCAGGAAACCCAACTTCATTTTAGACAAATGGCTATCCAATCTCTTCTTAAAAGCTTCCAGTGTTGGAGCATTTACAACTTCTGGAAGCAAGTTGTTCCACTGATTAATTGTTCTAACTGTCAGGAAATTTCTCCTTAGTTCTAAGTTGCTTCTCTCCTTGATTAGTTTCCACTCATTGCTTCTTGTCCTGCCCTCAGGTACTTTGGAGCATAGCTTGACTCCCTCTTCTTTGTGGCACCCCCTGAGATAGTGTTCCAATATCTATCATGTCACCCCTAGTCTTTTTTTTCATCAGACTATACATACCCAGTTCCTGCAACTGTTCTTTATATGTTTTAGCCTCCAGTTCCCTAATCATCTTTGTTGCTCTTCTCTGCACTCTTTCTAGAGTCTCCACATCTTTTTTACATTGTGGCAACCAAAAGTGGATGCAGTATTCCAAGTGTGGCCTTACCAAGGCATTATAAAGTGGTATTAACACTTCACGTGATCTTGATTCTATCCCTCTGTTAATGCAGCCTAGAACTGCAGCCTAGCTGCAGCACACTGTTGGCTCATATTTAAATAAGCCAGCCACTAGGACTCCAAGATCTCTTTCACAGTTACTACAATTGAGCAAGGTACCACATATTCTGTACCTGTGCATTTTGTTTTTCTTGCCTAAATGTAGAACCTTATTTTTTTCACCATTGAATTTCATTTTGTTAGATAGCGCCCAATGTTCAAGTTTGTCAAAATCCTTCTGTATCTTAAGCCTATCTTCTGGAGTGTTGGCTAGTCCTGCTAGTTTAGTGTCGTCTGCATCTATCCCCTCGTCCATTAAACTATTTTTAATATTAAACTAATATTCTGCAGCAAACAGTTTAGTGAAAGAGTTTCCTCTGATGTGGTAATTAACAATAACATGGAATTTTATATTAACTGTATTTGATGCCATTCTTATCCATAGTTAACTGAAAAAGGCAACATTTACTTCAAATAGAATTTGTCTCTTGCTAGCTTCATTTGCTAAGCACTTTTCGTAACAAAATTATAGAACTGACAATTGCTGCCTTCCTCTTTTCTTTCTTTTTAATTTTCGTAGTCTAATTTACAGCCCAGGGCTTTTGAGTGTCTTTCCTTCAAATACTATTCAGGCCTTAACATTTTAAGATTAGCCAAAAATTCCTTTGAACTACAAGAGTAGATGCTGTATCATTGTGTCATTGTTATTGTCTCAAACATATATCAACATTTTATATAAGAAAATATGGTGCAACATGTAAAACAGTCAATATATTATGCTCCAGTAATATAATTGACTAAACAAAAGGTGCAGTGAGAGATGCTGATGCTGTCTGCTTCATAGATGTGTTTCAGTGTGTATATAAAGAATAAAATTAATGCTGAAATTATTATTTTGTTATAATAACTTGCCTTATTTTTTTAGGCGATTTTGGTGTTTTGCTGGATTTATGTCCGCAAGTAACAGAGTAGGCGGGAAAGTAAAGTAATTTTTACCATAACATCTATTTTTGCTTTGGCAATTGCACTTATTATATCAACTCCCTTTCCTGTGGGCATTTTTCTAGTTTCTTATGTGAAGAACAAAAATGGAATATTTAAGGTATTTATTCATCCCACACTTTCTATAAGTTTAATAACAATTCCTGTTCCTCTGGCTTTCTTTCTTTCTTTCTTTCTTTCTTTCTTTCTTTCTTTCTTTCTTTCTTTCTTTCTTTCTGGTTTGTAAGACTGCAATAAGACTGATTTAATAGTGAATCATATTGTGATATTTATACTGTGATAATTAAATTGCTGCTTGTTTCTTTTTTAAAAAAAAATACTGAAATATGTCTTATATATTAAATGTGGCTTTTGTTAAAATTTTGATCTGAATGGTTGCCAGAGTTAAAAGTCAGAATAGAAGCTAAATTCAAAGATCAAAATGGATGCCACCAATGGATTTGTAGCATATCGTTATGCCTATGGGAATGTTCACTTTTTGATCCTGTCCTACCTAACTTTCTTGGTAAAACACATGGCAAAATTCCATTGGGGGGGCAAACCCACTTAGGGTTAGTGTCTATGAATTCAGAGATCAAAACGGATGCCACCAATGGATTCATAATACATTGGTATGATTAAGAGGGCGCTAACTTTTTGAGCCCACCCTATATATGTTACTTGGTAAAATACATGGGGAAATCCCATTGAGAGGCAAACCTACAGGTTAGGGTTAGGTCTTCATGAATTCAATGAGCAAAATGGATGTCATCAATGGATTCGATACTTAACAGGGTGCTGACTTTGTAAGCCTGCCCTATCTCTTTTTCCTTATAAAATGCATAGAAATCCCTTTGGCGGCAAACTGACTTAGGGTTAGGTTAGAATTCAGTGAGCAAAACGGATGTTGCCAATGGATTTCTAGTGCTTTGTTATGCTTAGAGGGGACTCTCAATTTTTTGAATCCCGCCCAAAGTCTGGCTTCTGACTGGGTAAGTCCAGACGGGATGATTGAGGCAGGTCTTGAGAGTGTTATCTGGGAGGAGTTTGATCCTGTGGCTCCCGAGGACGTGGACAGGATTCTGGGATGGCTGAACATGACCACATGTTTATTGGACCCGTGTCCCTCCTGGTTGGTGCTGGCTTCCCAGGAGGTTACACGAGGCTGGCTCCAGAGGATTATTAACGCTTCTTTGAGTAAGGGTGTCCTGCCGGCTGCCTTGAAAGAAGTGGTGGTGAGGCCTCTCCTCAAGAAGCCCTCTCTGGATCCGGCTGTTTTGGCTAACTATCGTCCAGTCTCCAACCTTCGTTTTATTGCGAAGGTTGTTGAGAATGTGGTGGTATGGCAGCTGCCACAGTACCTGGATGAAGCTGTCTATCTAGATCCGCTCCAGTCCAGCTTCAGGCCTGGGCACAGCATGGAAACGGCATTGGTCGCATTGGTGGATGATCTCTGGAGGGCTCGGGATAGGGGTTGCTCCTCTATCCTGGTCCTATTAGATCTCTCAGCAGCTTTTGATACCATCGACCATGGTATCCTGTTGCACCGATTGGAGGGGTTGGGGGTGGGAGGCACTGTTTTGCGGTGGTTCTACTCCTATCTCTCTGACCGATCGCAATCTGTGTTGACAGGGGGGCAGCGGTCGACTCCGAGGCGTTTGTGGGGTACCGCAGGGGTCGGTCCTCTCTCCCCTTCTGTTCAACATTTATGTAAAGCTGCTGGGTGAGATCATCTGTGGCTTTGGGGTGGAGTTCTATCAGTACACTGATGACACCCAGCTGTACATCTCCACCCCAGGCCACCCCAACGATGCCCTTGAAGTGATGTCCCGGTGCCTGGAGGCCATGCGGGCCTGGATGGTGAGAAACAGGCTCCGACTCAACCCTTCCAAGACTGAATGGCTGTGGCTTCTGGCGTCCCGATATAGCCAGCTGGTGCCATCGCTGGTTATTGGGGGCAAATCACTGGCCCCCACAGAGAGGGCTCACAACTTGGGTGTCCTCCTGGATGCACAGCTGTCTTTAGAAGAGCATATGACGTCTGTGGCCAGGGGGGCTTTTTATCAGGTCCGCCTGATACGCCAGTTGCGTCCCTTTCTGGATCGGGACTCCCTATGCACTGTCACTCAGGCACTCGTCACTTCCCGCCTGGACTACTGCAATGCTCTCTACATGGGGCTCCCCTTGAGGTGCACCCGGAGGCTCCAGCTTGTCCAGAATGCAGCCGCGCGGGGGATTATGGGAGCGACGGGGCGCTCCCATGTGACACCTCTCCTGTGCGAGCTGCACTGGCTCCTGGTGGTCTTCCGGGTGTGCTTCAAGGTGTTGGTGACCACCTTTAAAGTGCTCCATGGCTTAGGGCTGGGGTATCTACGAGACCGCCTTCTGCCGCCAATAGCCTCCCACCGGCCAGTACGCTTGTACAGAGAGGACCTCCTCAGGGTGCTGTCCGCCAGACAATGTCGGCTGGCGACCCCCAGGGGGAGAGCCTTCTCTGTGGCGGCACCCACCCTCTGGAATGACTTTCCCCCAGAGATACGCATGATACCAGACCTCCGGACTCTTCATCGGGCCCTGAAAACTCATTTATTTCACCTACCCGGGCTGGCTTGATCCCATCCGTTTCGGTTTTAATTTGAAATCGGTTTTAATTGGGTTGTTTTAAATTGTGGGCCGAAATTATTTAATTATCTTTTAAACTGTTTTTTAAATTTTGTATGGTCTGTTTTATCTCGGCTGTTCACCGCCCTGAGTCCTGCTGGACTCAAATAAAATAAAAATACAAATAAAATAAAATAAAAATAAATAAAATAAATAAATCTACATTCCTAGTAAAATACATTGAAAAATACCACTTGGGGGCAAACACATTTAGGACTAGGATTAGATCCCCATGAATTCTGACAGCCAAATGAGGGAACTCACTTTTCAAGCATACTGTATCTACATTTCTTAGTAAAACACTTGGAAAAATCTCTTTTCTTGGTAAAATTCATATAAAAATCCCATATGAGAAACCCACTTAGGGTTAGGATAACATCTCTGTGAATTTGGAGAGCAAAATGGACATCGGTAATGAATTCGTAGTGCATTGCTATTCTTAGGAGTGTACTGACTATGTGAGTCCACCCTATCTGATTATCCTGGCAAAATACATGGGAAAATCTCTTTGTGGGACAAACCCACTTAGGGTTAGGGTCAATTCTCCATGAATTCAGAGAGCAAAACGGAATTCCCTAAGGGTTATGTATTGCATCATTATTCGTAGGAGGGTGCTGACCAGTGGTGGGTTTCAAAATTTGTTACTACCGGTTCTGTGGGTGTGGCTTGTTGAGTGTGGCTTGTTGGGTGTGGCATGATTTGGTGGGCGTGGCTGGTGGGCGTGGCATGGGAAGGATACTATAAAATCTCCATTCCCTCCCCACTCCAGGGGAAGGATACTGCAAAATCCCCATTTCCTCCCAATCAGCTGGGACTCAGGAGGCAGAGAATGGATGGGGGTAGGGCCAGTCAGAATTTTTAGTACCGGTTCTCAGAACTACTCAAAATTTCCGCTACCGGTTCTCCAGAACTGGTCAGAACCTGCTGAAACCCACCTCTGGTGCTGGCTTTTCAATTCTGCACTGTATTACCTGGTAAAATACATAATAAATCCCATTGGGGTCAAACCTACCTAGGGTTAGGATTAGGTCTCCATAAATTCTGACAGAAAAAATGGACATCTTCAAAGGATTCATAGAACATTGTAATGTTTAGTAGAGACCGGACTTTGCGAGCCCGCTCTATTTAAATTTCCTGGTAAAATGCATGGGAAAATCGCATTGGGGGTAAACCACAATTAAAGAAGACATAACCCTAACACTAAGTTAGCTTTTACTCTTATGGGATTTTTCCATGAAATTACTTGAATTTCCTCACTGCTACTTCAGCATGCCCATGAAATAAAACTCATATGCTTCTGAAAGCAGAAGTGGATTTCATCCTTAGTGGAAAATCTGAGTTAAGAATATTTGCTTTAATTTGACTAATATGGTAATGAATTGAGACTTTTTTTTTGAAGTCATGAGTTGAATTGTACATTCATTCATGAGAATTGGAAATGTGTCATTTAAGTCAGATAAGAATGGGTTTATCCTTTAATTACTTTACTATTACCAATGCAACCTTGACTGATGAAAACTCACAAGGGCCTGAAAAGAAGCACATTTCTCCTTCAAACATCTGCATGTACTGTAGTCAAATTAGAGAATGAATGAATCAGAGTAGAAAGATCTACATATTGAATAGGTCTGCAAATAATGGGATATTCTTCCAATAAGCACATTTTTTTAAAGAAGGGAAAGTAGAAATGATGTACTGGATTAGTTCTTTCATTAATTTAGCGTAATAATTAAACTCCCTTTCAGAGCAGAACTCAACTAACTTGGTATACATAAGAAAGAAGCAATCACAGTCAATGCAAAACAAAAAATGTCAACAGTTTCCCAACTGAAATCCTTTCCGCAAATGAAAATTAGAACAAATACATCCATACAATTCAAGAGAACAGTTATGAAGATTTCCTGCAAAATTTCACCAAATGTCTACAGTGCAGAGCAATATTATTTCACTTATTGGAAACACATTTAATGAGATACAGGAATTTAGCCTGCAAGTTCAGTGGTAAGTCATGATAGTTATAAAGCAGTTAACCACATGTTTGAACTCAATTTTGTGACTTTTTGCAGTGGTAATAAAGTGAACATTGTTGTTAAGTAAATACCATAGTCATTAAACTAACCCATTGTTTGCTATGGAGTACTTTTTGATGGAAACCGTAAGTAAATACCAGATGTCTAAAACTGCTGTCATGTGACCGTGAGATGCTGCAAACGGCTATAAATGCAGCCCCCATAATGTGGTCATGTGACCTCAAGGGGAAGCAGAACATCAGAACTTTGAATCTGGGTTGTAGATAGCTTTTTTGAGGTCCATCATAACTTTGAGCAATCACTAAATGACCAGTCATAAATTAGACTACCTGTATACACACAAATATACTGTTTGTATTTGTATGTGTATATCTATAAGCTGAGGTGTCTTTATTAGACTTTGGAATACACTCTTTTTCCCATCATCCTTATAAAGAAATGTTATGCCGGGCCAATTATATGTTACTAGAGTACCTGCACATTTTAGGAGGTATTGAAGGCAGGTTCATTAACAATTTCATCACCCCTTCATTCAGAGGTGACATTTGTCTGTTTTATATCTGTCTCCATTGTCATTCAGTCTCGATGGTATTTGCTTTTCAAATGCAAAGCCAGATCTTAATTTTGAAATCATGGCATTATTCAACCATGCTCTGGCTTTTGATATTTATAGAGCCCATTGTCTGCTTTTAAAGAAAGAGTCAAAGATGCAACATTATATATACTGAAAGTCTGGGAATTTTTATGGCCACAGGTTTTTTTAGACTGAAAAGAAAGTAAAACTGTGGAAAGGTCAAGGAAAAAAGAATGAAATATGAGGCAAAATCTCATAAAAGAATGTAAACATTAATAGCTTCAGACATATGAATGAATTTCTTTTTTAAAAATTAGATTATAAAAATAAATTTGAAAAAGTATTATATAGGGATTTAATTATAATTTTCTCATTTTTAAAAAATTATCAAGTCTTTTCTCATTCCCTTCAAGAGAATGATAGTGGGAAGGAGGAATTTCATGAGTTACCTATTTTCATAGATGGAATTACCATTTTTGCTGGAATTAATGGGAAGAATGATGTACCTGCTTTAATTTACACAGCTCTATGAAATGACTTCTATGCCCTTGAGATCCCTTCTGCTTCCTATGAGAGGAAAAGATAAGTGAATTTTGAGCCAGTTTGGTATAATGGTTCAGGCATTTTTGTATCCACCCAGAGTCACTTGGCTGAGATGGGCATCTATAGAAATTGAATAAATAAAATAAAATAGATTTGGTCAGACTGAGGTTCAGCTCTACTCCAGACCATTTGATTTCAGGCCAGTCATTCTTTTAACTCATTGGTTTGTTTTTGTGGGGAAAATTGGAAGAGAGATTGCTAGGTAGACCTTTTGAACTCCCTAGCCAACAATACAGAGGAGAAAGTTTGAAGACAAGTCAGTGAGGTCAAATCTCCCCGAAATCAACTATTCTCTGTCTGTTTCTTTGGTGTATTTTTGCAGTATCCAAAGTGGACTGTTAAGAGCAGTGTTTCTAACCTGGCTAAGGTAAAAGCCCTACAGAATTTTGATACTGTAAGAAATAACAAATAGGAGGATTTGGGCTTTCAGAGTGTGTGGTGTTCTTCTAAGAGGAAGAGCAAGAAGCACATCTTTCTTGAGTCATAAAGCTGGTTTCTTCATGGGCCAGTTATTTTCAAAATGAAGTTATCTCCATCTGATACAATTAGCTTCCAATAATTTTCTACAGAAACATTCCCTAACCAAGTACTTTCCAGAGGCCTTGGATTGTAGCTCCCATAAACCTAATGAAATATATTCATTGCCCAGTGTTCTGGGTTCAGTTATATTTGGCGTCTATCAGCCCCATTTTTTTTCATGAAAATGCTCTTGATTGTGATAGATTGGGGGGGGGGGATAAAATTATGATTAAATATGAATACAATATGATTCCTCCAGGGACTAAAATAATTTCTCTCTTAATCTAATGTGTAAAGCAATTGGCTTTTATTTCCTTTTTTCTTTACAGAAATAAATGGAAATACATTCTGAATCAAATAGACCAACATTAATTAATTACAATAGTGAAACATTCCTATTGTGGTATAAATTATTACTATAGGGGCAAATTGTCAAGACCATGTCTGTTCAGTATTTTGATAGCAAAAGCTGCTTGGCAATGCTATCAGACATGTCTTGACAGTTCCTTAGCAGACATTAGAAGAATGACAATCATTTTGAAAACACTATGATAAATGGTTATTTTAACAAAATAAATTATTTATCAACTCATTTGTACAGGCTCTTCATGAATGTTAAGTTCAGATTGGACATTAAGTATTAACATTTGAAGACAAAAATATGAAAAGAATATAATCATCTCTCCCTCAACTAGATCTGCAAAGTGGACATTTTTTAAATCTCATAAGAATTTGGTGAAGTGAACCTTCAGTGGATTTTCAAGGACAACTACAAAAATGAATACAGGTAGTCTACAACTTTCAGCAGTTCATTTAGTGACCATTACAACACACTGAAAAAAAGTGATTTATGACTGTTTTTCACACACATGATCGTTGCAGCATCTCCATGGTCATGTGATCAAAATTCAGATGCTTGGCAATTGACTGATATTTATGACGGTTGCAATGTCCTAGGGCCATGTGATCACCTTTTGCAACCTTCTAACAAGCAAAGTCAATGGGGAAGCCGCATTCGCTTAAAGCTGTGTTATTAAATTAATAATTGCAGTGATTCGCTTAACAATTGTGGCATGAAAAGTCATAAAATGGGGCAAAACTCACTTAACAAATGTCTCACTTAGCAACAGAAATTTTGGGCTCACTTGTGGTCATAAGTCGAGGACTACCTTAAAGGTCTTTATCTGTGCAGGTAGCCCCCAGTTTAAGAACAAGTTCCATTCCCAAGATCTGTCCTTAAATCGAATTTGTATGTAAGACAGACAGAACAGTATTTACTGTATAATACCATATAAGTAGTATTGCGCTATGTGCTTGAACCAGTGTGTATTTAAAATGACTCATTGTATATTTAACTCAAATTTTGCTACAATAGGCTCTGCTCTTAATTATGGGTCGTCCTTAAACTGGGGCATTCTTAACTCAGGGACTTTCTGCATTAAAGTCAAAATAAATCCAGAGGACTTGGCCTAGCCCTCATTTGAATTTAGCTTTCAGACACTGTCTAGTTAAATCTGATAAGTTCTTTGCCCTCATGAGGAAACTCAAAATGAGGGCAGTATTTCCTGTCTGTGTGCTGCATCATCTCTGTGATGTAACTATATATTCAAAACTTTTGTGATATAACAGCATCACCAGATTGCTATCAGTGGCTTTCTGTTTACATAATTTACAATTTCCTTCTGCTTCTCTATCATAGTGGATGATTTTGAAAACTAAGTAAAGTCGGTTGTGAAGACTTTACATCTATTGAAAATCTATTGACTAGATTTAAAAATCTATTGACTAGACAGGAAAGGTGAAAAAAACATTCCTAAGAAAAGCAATAACAAACCATTTCAGATTATTATAAAGAAAACTACATGGATGTGTCCATGTTGCCACCAGAAGTCATACGTAACCAAAATTTTTCCTCCATGCAGACTCATATTTCTGGTCTGGGCCAGAGAAACTAGATCCATGATGGCGAACCTATGGCACGCGTGCCACAGGTGGCACACGGAGCCATATCGGTGGGAACGTGAGCGTTGCCCTAGCACAGCTCTGGCACGCCGGCCAGCTAATTTTTGGGCCTTTCGGGCTCACCAGAAGTTGGGAAACAGGCTGTTTCCGGCCTCCGGAGGGCCTCCACCGTGGTGGGGAAGCCCGTTTTTCACTCTTCCCAGGCTCCAAGAAAGCCTCTGAAGCCTGGGGAGGATGAAAAACGGGCCTACCAGGCCCACTGTGCCACTGCATGCCAAAAGCGGGGGGAGCATGGGAGGGTCGCATGCAGAGAGCCAGGGCACATTGAATTATGGATGTGGGCACACACGCACGCGACCCTGCCATGCTCCCCCTGCTTTTGGCACAGGAACCTCAAAAAGGTTAGCCATCATTGACCTAAATCATGTCTTTTAAGGAAAATGCAGATACTTGAAAGAGAGGAAATATAGTTTCTTTTCTATTTTCTTAGCGGAACTTTTCAGAGAATTCATCATCACTGCTGGGATCATATCAGACAAAGCCAACCGTATTGTGTTTTGGTGTTTAAAGATACCAATGCGTGTTTGGATGGGTATTGAGGAAGAGGTGTGTGTGTGTGTGTGTGTGTGTGTGTGAGAGAGAGAGAGAGAGAGAGAGGGAGAGAGAGAGGGAGAGAGAGAGGGAGTGAGTTTCAATATCATTAAAAAATAAATATGGATGCTTTCATGAACCTTTTTCAGCACCAAGTAGAACTCCTTCAGCTTTGGCAAAATCCAGTGTTTACTGAGAGGGTTAGAAACTGATCATGGAGAAAATTGTAGGCTAGAGAAAGCAACTCTGCTGCATTGCAGATCTCTAGCTTACTTGTTCATTAAAAAGAAAAAAAAAACAGACTGCAGAGAGAAGGGCAGGAGCAGCCAACATCTGACTATTAACTTGTGTAACTATAAAATTAGATTTCGGAAATTGCCCTTCATCTGCTTCTCCCCATATCTTCTATGCAGAGAGCTTAATCTATTTTAAGAGTTCTGAAATGCTTTCCATGAGCAAAATATTCAAAACTAGATGGCACAGGAATCCTACAAGCCTGATGCCAGAAAAATCACCCAAGTAAATCAGAGGTGGGATAGAGCTTCAAAACGATGCCAGTTCCTTGAGGAAATGCTTTCTTAGTTCCTAACAATCAAGTTAACTCCACACGGCTCATTAAAAGTATTGGGATGAAAAATAAATACATCTATGTCTTTTATAGCCAAAATAGTTCTCCATTTGCCATTTAGCCACTGGGGTTCAGATGTTTTCTTATCCAATCAAGATTCCACGAACATTTTACTTGCTAATGCTATCTTTCTATAGCATGCTCTCCTTATATCTCAGAGCTGGGAAAGCTGTGGCCTTCCATATGTTGATTTAGTATAACTCTCATCAGCCCTATTCAACATGGCCAGCAATGAGGAAAACAAAGAATCCACCTCTTCGAGACAGCCATGTATCTCTCACCACAGCCGTAAATGACGAATAAGCAAATTTAAAGCACTGGTCAAGATGGGGGGTGCCACTGTACGGCAAAATTCAAATCATTGGTCCATAAAACAATTAACATTGCCAGTTCCACCTTGATTATAAATCCTATATAGAGAAAGAGACAGAAATTTATGATAACGAACGGCTATTAATTTCTTCACTAGCTTTTAATATATTTTCAGGTATCTTTCTGGGAAGTCATAAATGAAAATGACTTGCTAATTTGAACATTCTGGCCACAATCCATGTACTTTGCATATTCTCATAACATCCTCTGTTTTTTTTCAGTTGGGCTTACTATCTAGTAAGTGTATTCAACATAGACACCTAAAATTGTGTGTACTTTCTGCTTATCTCACAACTGATTTAATAATGCCAAATGAAATCACTGTATGTGCAAGTGAGAGTATATGTGTAAGAGAGAGAGAAAAAAGAGGATGAGATTGGAGAACATATTTCAAAAAAGAGCCATGGTTTGACTGCAGACTTCTGGTAGAACCTGAAAAGTTGTCACAGGCAACTTTTCACTAGGCAAATAGTTTGAATGATGTAATTTGTGTCAATGGCAGCAGATACGAATTATATAATTCCTATCTTTTGTGTGTGAACACTGTATACTTTATCATTCTATCACTTGTTCCTCTTGCTTATCCTGCAGACCTCCACATGGTCAAATAGTGCTACATGACAGAAGATTTATTTTAGACAGGGATAGTTCTGTGAGTCTTCGACAAGACCGATTTGGAGTTAGCAGAGATTGGCACAATCTCCAGATGCTATGCAGTGATGGTATCATTGGATCTGCAATTTGGTTCAAATAATTGGGGAAAAGGACTGATTCCAAATGTAATTCCAAAATGTACCCTTTGGAACAATCTACCCCCAGAGATACGAGTGATCTCCAACCTCCGGACTTTTCGTCGGGCCCTAAAAACTTATTTTTTTCAGTTAGCCGGTCTGTCCTGATTTTATGGTTGGTTTTAAAATTTGATACGGATTTTTAAATTGATAAGTTTTAAATTACGGGCCAAATTTATTTAATTATTTTAAATCTATTTTTAACTATGTATAAATGTTTTTTATCTTGGCTGTTCACCGCCCTGAGTCCGAAAGGAGAAGGGCGGTATAGAAGTTTGAATAAATAAATGAATAAATAAATGAATAAATAAATAAATGAATAAATAAATGAATAAATAAATAAATAAATAAATAATAGTTATACATTGATTTTCTTTTTATTGCACTTTTTATTGATTACATTTGATTTCTATGAGATACAGCTGCTTCCATTTTCTACTTGAGAAAGTAGGTAAAATAGGAAATGGGTATTACAAATAGTCTTTAGTTAGCAACTGCCTCATACCAGTGACTGGTTGCAGTTATGGCAGTGATTAAAAAGTAACCTTAGGATCTGTCCTTGCATTTATGATATTTGCAGGTCTCTAAAGCAAAGGAAAGCTGGAGCAAGGTCATAAACACAGTCACATTAGTAACTGCTTCGCTGAACAACTGAGTTTCCAGTCCCAATTGTGGTCACTAAACAAGTCCTTGTTTATGACTACTTATATATACCATTACAAAGTTGACCATTCAAATCTGAGGAAAAGACTTAATGGAACCACCTAAACTAGGAGTTTTATAACTATGGTTTATGGGGTGAGCCAAAGCTGTCTGACTCTCACTTAAAGCTAAGCCACAAACCAACCAACTATATAGTGGTCTAGCAAAACTTGTGAACCAAGTGCATTTGTGAATAAAACAAGAATATGGATAATAGAAAATGAGAATACAGGTATACAATCAAATCCCTTGGCAATCTTCATTTTATAAGTAAGAGTGATTACAGCCTGGTTGTTGATAAATGGCAAGATTTTGTGGGCAGCAAAATATTCCATTATTTCTGTTGTCCTTTAAAAATAACAGACTAATCACTTGATCCGGTATGCCTTCTGTCTCTTCCATTTTGAGTAGATAACTAAGTTTCAACCGGCATTATCCCACACTAGAATTCATAAATTTCTGTGAGGGTGTGCATGCAAACAATGAATCATGTGTCTTGATATCATGATGCAAAAACTATGACTTATATACTTTCATCAGATTGTAGGACATATATGCAGACCTTACATTATGTCACCATTTTGATGAAATACTAGTTTCCTGAGAACCCCTACTGTAGAGTTACAGAATTGTCATTGCTTCAGAATTTGTCTTAAGGATCATATTAAAGTGATTTTTGCTTTCTACAGTGCGTTGATTTTTCTTACAATTGAACATGCACATGATGTCCATTGAATAACGAGGCCATTATTGAAGAGGAAAATCAAATAACTAAACTGCCAGATTACTATAGAAGTGGCAATATTTGTGTTTAGACATTATGGAAATCATGCTCAGTCAGCACATTATATTCCAACAGTTATTTGAGAGATGCTATCCAAGCAGTTTACTTTCAATCCAATTTTCAGTGCAAAGAGGTGTCAGTTACTGGAAACTTTACATCTTTTATATAAACACACTACATAAACATACTACACACTACCCAATATTCCACATCTAGTGTATCAAGATCCACCTAGGTTGGCAGAGTGAAACTTTCTAATGTTACTGTATGTTGACAATATGCATTTGTCATAAACCATAATCTTGGGACGCTTTGAAGCCTCTTTCCCTGTATTATAATGACATCGACAAAGAAATTATTAAAAGCCCAAGATAATAGCCCTTGCCAAATGGCCCAAGTTGGATTGCAGAGAGTGGTTTTTCACTCTTCAGTGGAAACAAAAATAGATTATGCAACACTGATCATCCAGATAAATTCAGCAGCCATTCTGTAATTTCTCTTTTATGCAAGGGGTTGGGCTGATAGCTGCTGCTATTAAATTACTTCAGACAAAACCATCAGCATTTATATAGTGTACAACTGGGCCCCTATCCTAATTATCGAGTGCTTGAAATGGTACAAATTGAATTCCTAGGAGAAATCTGAAAGCTTTCTGGATGTATCCCCAAAGCAACCTTGTAGCTAGAGATTGGTCTATGGAGAGTAGAAACCAGTGCATGATTTGCAATCGCCAATTACTGACGGAAAAATAAATGCTTTCCAATGGGATTACTTTCTCGTATATTTCATGATAATTTTCCATCCAGGAGTAGCAGGCCAGATTTTTAAATTTTCATTTTTCTTTATCTCTTCCTGAATATCTATTCTTTTTGAGTTATGAGCAAGCTAGAGTAGCAAAGAGGCAGTGAATTCAGGATATAGATCACTGTCATGGGTTCTTCTGGGGAGATGGTTTCACACCAGAAAACAAACTGAAAAGGGATTTTGTTATTAAGGTATGCTTTAAAATAATGATTTTTTTTCTAGAATAGGAAGACAATGCTTTGTTTTTATTATTCCCAAGTTTTTTTTCTTATTTTATCTTGTGTGGTTATATTCAACTCTGTACCCAGTTCTATTTAAGAGGTTGTTTTGTTTTCTTATTTTTATTTTGTGTTATATTTCACTCTCTAATTCTACTTAATTACCATTATACATCTACTTATAATAGCTCTGCATTCATAAGATATTATGTTTCTCTCTCCTCCCTCCCTCCCACATACACACTATTGTATTTTATCTAGTCCAGTCTATTTTCTCTTTTCACTCAAACTTACTTCCTTGACTCATTCAACTGCCCCGGGCTCTCCCATGCCTTCTGTCCATGGTTACATATGTGGCTTCATTTGGTCAGGTACTGAATGGAGGCTGATGTGATCTCCTTCCTTGCTTCTTAAAGACTGTACCTGTGGTTGGGATTAGCTTTCTTGATCACTGATGGTTGTGATGTCTCAGGCCTTCGCCCTACCCAATTATTCACCTTCCTGCATTTGATTATGCTTTTTTTGTGTTCAGGAGTCCTGAAGCTTTTAAAATATTGTTGGTATTATGATGGCAGATAGCAAGTGTTATTGCACTTGTTGCTGCCTGTTTGTCACTACGTTTTGTCATGAAAACTCTTTTTTCTGCCCATCCCAATTTCCCGTCATTTCTTCCCAGTATGGCTTCAGTTCTCCTGGCCTTCTTCCTTCTTACTGCTCTTTAATGCTTCTGGATCCCCCAGGGCTGAGGAGAAATCTTCATCCCCCAGGTTGTTTTGTTATGTTTCTGTTTCTTTTTTTCTCTCTTTTCAATGGGGCTTTTCTCTGTGGGTCTGCCTGATGGTCTCCCTTCATTTAAGCTCTGGCTCCAACCGTTGCTTCTCCTTGCCCTGGTGCTTTGAGCCTGGGCAAATTCCTACCACTGGGGAAAACCACCAAAAGGGAGAGGAAGGCTGGAGCAGGAGGGTTGGCCATCAGCCCACTGTTTTCTCCTTTCATGATGGCCAACAAGGATTATGTTCTCAAAAGAGGACGTCAAAGAGAGTTTTACCCATCTTTGAAGGAAACCTGTCAAATGCCTTCTCTCATGTCTTCTCCCAAAATGTAGAAGGTGTTCATAAACACAAGAGTTGATTTGCTTCCATCAGCAGGATTACACGGCAGATTTAGAATATCCTGTGTAAGAAGCATCTTCTTGTGGGTTAAGATCAATAGAGAATGTTATGCAAGTTTTATTATCCTCTACCTCTTACGAAGAGTGCCATGCAAGGCTATTACATTCTTTTGCTGCAATTTCCAGGCAGTTCAGTTCAATTTTATGCCTCTTTATTTCTGTCAGATATAATGTGGCAAAACTTTGTGTGATTGCATGAAGAATTTGACAAGGGACATTATCTAGAATAGCTTTCTTATCAGCTGGTGACTGACAGTGGGGCATCATTTAATTCTTGTTTGCATTAGGTGCCTTGTAATAAGCAACACAGTAATATAGATATTTTATACTGTTATTTGTAAAGGATTATTTGGCTGGCTTATTGCATAAACAAAGCATTACACACAGGGGCGGGTTTCAAAACCGTTGCTACCAGTTCGCTTGTGGGCGAGGGCGCATTTGTGTGATACTTCTGCGCATGCGCAGAACTCTGGGCGGGTGGGCGGAGCCTCCCACTGCCGCCGCTATCAATTCACCCAAACTGGTGCGAACCGGTAGCAACCCACCGCTGATTACACTGTAGTATGTAACTTTAACAAATCAACATAAATCTTTGTTACATTCATAGTCCAGCATAAAATGTAATAGTTTATACAATTTAGATTTATAGGCTTATTTACTGGCACTTTTTAGTGTTTCAAAACTGAAGTAGGTAAGCTATACACTTTAAGCATAATGACTTTCATTTCCCTATATTTTTTTTTGCCAGTTTCTCAGCCAGAAAAATATAAGCCTGTACCTTGGGAAAAATAATATTGATATATTTGTTTACTTGTATACATTAATACAATCCTGTACTTCAGGTTACCTGGATAAGTGTACAGGTACATTAAAAAAGATACCATACAATATTTCAAAAGCACATAATAAAGCACAAATACAACCACCCGTCAAAGGATGAAGACAATGCCAGATATGCAGTCAAAAGTAAAATCAGCAGCAAAACAAAACTAAGATAAAGATCTGGAAGTCCTGAAAAGGCTATGAAATGCTGCAAAAGTCAAAAGGTATTTTTCTCTGTCCTGAAAAAGTAACCAGGTAGGCCAGATGACACTCTCTGGGGAGGAAAGGCCCAAATAGGGTTCTGTCACTCAGGAAGCCCTTGTGTTTTACAGCTCTACAGCTGAGCTCATTTAGAAAGAAGACCAGCAATAGGACTAGTGATTTGAGTATCCAAGCAAACAAATAAAAGGAAATCTGCTGCTTCAGATAATCTGGCCGAACGTTATGTCGGGTTTTAAATGTTAAAACTATTACCTTGATTTAGAAAGGAACTGGCATACCAAGCATACTACTGCCACACCAAAGATAAGGTGAACACCATTTAATCAGACAAAGACCGCCAACCTCTCCATGTTAACTGCAGTGAGCCCACTTCATTGGCCAAATCCAATTAATTACTGTGATCAGATGCAGGAATAGAACACCAACTATTTCACTAGGATTAAATAAAAGGAAAGTAGAAGTAGGGGTCATTA